AGTCAAAAAGCAGGTATTTGTGTCAGATAAATGAAATAAATGATAAGCATCTTATTACACAATTAGTCTACAGTGATCATAGCATGTTTTGCCTGTTGAGATCACAGCATAATAACTATTATAGTTTTAATTTTGATCACATGGTGGGTGGATGGGTCAAATAGTCTGTGAGTTCATACACAATATAAGCTTTGGGAGCAAATTATACTGTAACACTGAAACATTACAAAAATAATATTTACCTTTTATAGTGAGAGAGAAAGAAGAGGTAACAGATCATAATTTCTAGGTATTGAGAATGCATGTTAAGCTAATAGTGTTTAAGAAAAAGTAGTGAAAAACATGTTTTGAGTATTATTTCTACAACAGATCAGCAGCTCCAATACTAATATTGATAACTGCAACACAATACACTTGAATATAAATTTGTATTGCTACATATATTCCCCTACATACACTATTGTATTTTTATAGTTCATTTTTTGTAGTTGAGTACCTTTTAAAATATATTCTCATTTAATTCAAAATCATAAAAATACATTTTATCAAGATGTGTTGTGAAGTGACAACATCCTTCATCTTTTTTTTTTTTATCCTCCTCTTACTCCTTTTTATTCCTGTCCTTTTGCATATTTCAACCCTTATCTAAAATTCTAGTCTTGGGACAAATTTCCAATTCTAAACAGAAAAATCCCTTAAGTGTCTCTGTGTGTATGTATGTGTGTGTGGAGGGGGGAGGGAGGGAGGGAGAGATCACTGTAGTCAGTTTTGGGGGCTTTGGGGAAAGTCATTTTTTTAAAAGACAAAACAGATGCATCACCTAGTAGAAGGTTAACTGACTAAATTGGTTTTAGAAAAAAAATATATGAAAAGTTTTGGAATGCAGAACCAGTAATTGTGTGTCAGTAATCAATACCCATTATTGTATTTCGATTGTTTGATGCCAATTGCCCACAATTTTTTTTGTTCAAAGGAGGCAACTAGGTAGTAGAGAGATAAACCATAATGGTGGGAATGTGATCACTGCCAAACAGGAAATGGGGGGAAGTGATGTTAGGAAGTATGGCCGATAGAACTGAGGTCCTGAAAATTAAAATGTTTGAGTTCACTTTCTTCTTTTGCCATATGTTGTGAAAAGGCAAACACGTATTTGAAACTTTGGTAGGGAAAGGAGAGCAGATCTGCCTGGAACAAAGAAGCAGCAACAGAATAAATGAACAGCTGTTTTCCTGAGGGTGACATTCAAGCAATTCTTCCATATTTAACTTGAGCTGTTTCATTAACAACTTAATCCAAATTAGGCCTGCAGAAGATATGTTGCTCTCAAGTCACGTTTGAGTACTGTAGATTGTGGCCTCCACTGTTAACATAATATATAATACCCATAAATTGGTTGGAGTCAGGTGATGTCTATTCTACAAGATAGACCAGATTAAGAAAGCAATGCCACATAGGTTTGGATGCTTTTACTGTACTAACAGAATCGTGCAAGTCTACTTGTGCTTCCCTCTCCCTCACTTTTTTACCACATGAACTACAGAGTGGTTTGTCTGAGACATTTTTTCAAATTATTTTTTGGCTTGGGCTCACTCCATGCTTATTTGACCTTTGCCTTGATAGTGGCTCTTCCTCCTTTTCTTCAAGGCCATTCCCTACATCCTCCAAAGTCATTTGACCCATTTCTATCCTTTCTTAAAAACCTTGCTCTCAATCCCAGCCTGTTCCTACTGATATTTATATTCTTGCAGAAAAAAAAAACCCAGGGTATTGCTTTCATATTAATTATCTTTTCAAAGCTTTTGCATCATAGAAAATGCCCAGAGAAATCAAAGCACCCAACAATTCCAACAAAGATGTAGAGTAGCTTCCTTAAATTTCCATTGCAAGCCTATGTCAGAGACATGGGGGGGGGGGAATCAATTGTGAATCCAACAGGTTCATACATTGCTTTGGGGAAACCCTCAAGTAAAATTGATTTAAAAATAAACAATAATTACAATAGAGAAGATGGATGGAGAGACAGGAAGAAGACAACATTAAACACAACTTCTTGGGTAGGTGCAAACTCTAAACAGGCAGCCAACAGTGAAGGCAGATCAGCATGTTGCCAATGAAGAATGATCTCCACCATCTTTATTCTCTACATGACTGCATATGCTGTGAATAATGAAGGGTAGCAATACAATAAAAGTCTCTCTGTGTGAAAACATGCCAGTGGGAAATGCCTGCAGAGTCAGTGAAGAAATCTGCACATTAAAGTTAGTTAGTCTTTGACTTAGATCAAGCACCCAGCTGGTCAAATGGCAGACAAGTGGGGAGCATTTCTACTGCTGACTGATTAAGAAGTTTACTAGCAGACGGCAAACTACAGAGAATGCTCACCTTTAAAAACATCTGTCCATTTGTATTTTTCAATTTCCTGCTAGATTTTAGAGAACAAAATCCAAGTGGAATTAATTCAGTTTTAGCACAATGGTTTACAGCAGTTCTTAATGCGCTGAAAACAAAAACAACACAGTTATATGATGTTACTGACAGATCTAAGATAAAATGTTGTCCTGGAAATGTTCCACTATTTTACGAGATTGATCACAACAAGTAATAATTTTCTTTGGAACCTTTTATCTTGGTAAGGACAGAACATGTTGCAAACAAAACAAATCCATCTTTCTAAATCATATTACTGGAAAATGTACCAGTGAAAAACAGAAGACAAATGGACGTAGAGCTAGAGAGCACCATAAAACCCATCTGTGGTAGTTAGATGGAAAAGACTAACCAACTCCGCCTGGTCAAATAGAACTGGTGCAAAATTGAATGCCAGGTGTTGCAATTAACTTCTGTCTTTTTAAGATGCAGTTTGAAATATTTCATGTCCTGACAGTATTTTGCCACACAGCCCTGTCTCTGAATTAGACTGCCTGCATGAGGTGGTAATAGGGAAGATAAAATGTTCAGCAGATCTGAAAACATTAAAAGAGTATGGGGTGTTTCCTGACTCTGCATCTAATGATGTGCTTGTAATTTCTACTCTTCTCTTGCCTATGCCTCCAAACTTTCAATCTTCCTGGATAATTGGAGAAAAGCAGGAATGGAAAAATCCATTTGGCCAATGATGCCCATTCCTCTGTGAATGATGTGCATGGCAAGGTGGCTAGCACACCAACACTAAGAGAGGAACCCATTTTATACAAGGTAAGACAGTACAGGTAGTCCTCAACTTACAACAGTTCTTTAGTAACTGTTCAAAGTTACAATGACACTGACCAAAGTGACTTATAACCATTTTTCACACTTATGACCATTGCAGTATCCCCACGGTCACATGATTTACACTGGGATGCTTGACAGCTAATCACATTTATGATAATTGCACAGTCCTGGAGTGATGTGATCCCCTTTTACGACCTTCTGACAAGCAACCGTATTACTAATTTAAGAACTGCAGGGATTCACTTAACAAAGGTGGCAACAAAAGTTATAAAATGGGGCAAAGCTCATTTAACAAATTTCTCACTTAACAACATAACTTTTGGGCTCAGTTGTGGACATAAGTTCAGGGCTAAATGTATGAGGAATTCTTCATTGTGTTCTATAAAGGTTCTTCTGTGCTACAGCAATGCATATGCAGAAAGGCCTAGACTGTCTTTCACAATCATAGTTTCCAATTTTTAACCTCAACTTGTTTGTAAAATGTTTAGCTTTATTTGTGCTTTTGCAAACTGTTAGAAGTATTGGAGGTAATTATTGTTGTTTCTTAAAAGGCAGCACAACATGAGCCCTATAGATTAATATTGGGCAGTGTTTTGGATTAAAAGGAAAAAGGAGTTTCAGAATACAAAGGAGCAGTCATAAACAACTGTTTGCAATTCCTCCTTTTCTGTGATTGTATAACTGCCTTCTGCAGCTGCAGTGTGGCCAGCAGATGTGTTTGCTTTAGAGACTTTTGGGCAGATGTTGTGTATATGCTGAGTTCTTTCATTTGGACCCAGTTTTTGATTTGTAACATTTGAGAGCAAAGCAAGATCTTCCTTCCCACCTTCCTTGACTTTTGCTTTTGCTTTTGCTTTTGATTCAATATCCAGAGTTTTAATTGTGGGATAATTTCCTTAACTCTGTGGTAGGCAGCTCTTTATTATTGTTGTTTATATAAGCTACATGAAATCTGCCTAAGACTTAGATTTGTCCTAAAAAATACTATCTTACTAAAAGCACTTCCTTCTGTGAGGGGATTTAGGCTGGGCTGCATAGTAACCCCATCATTGTTACAAAGCATACAAGAGCATTAGGATGGCCTCTGAGCTAATTTCAGAGTAAAGACATTAAGAATATTCTTGAGGGGCAACCAAAGAGCTTTATAGAAGTGAAACTCTTTGGTTGCCCTTCAAGAACAATCTCAATGTCTTTATTCTGAAATTAGCTCAGAGGCCATCCTAATGCTCTTCTATGCTGATGATGCACTTTTCCTATCCCAGGCACCAATTGGCTTAAAACATGCTTTAAGATCTCTTGCTGTCTACTGCAAGGATGCAGATATAATGCTAAACTACAAAAGGTCAGTAATAATGGTCTTTGCTAAACATCAAAGAATCAGTACATGGCAATTAAATGACCACAAAATTGAGCAACTCAAGATGTTTAAATACATTGGAATTCTTTTTTCAGGCCCAGGAGAATCACATATTCAAATTATAGACTTAGAATGCCCAGAAATCAGCTTTGGCATTGGCATCTTTTACCCATCCAGAGGTGATTTATTTATTCCTGAAGTTTTAAAGCCATTTCCCATTTAAGCATGTTCTGAACTTCACTATGGTGGCTATCTCAACAAGTATTCAAAGGTATAAACTGTGCGATTTGAACTTTTGAGAAGTATGTATCAAGTACCAAGCAGTGTCTTCAATGTTGTCTTCTGTGGTGGGATGACACAGTAAGATCAGGATTAAAATCTGGTTACTTTTCTTTGAATATTGGCTGCCCACAGGATTGATCTCTCTGAGAGTAATAGCAATAGCACTTAGACTTATACACCACTCCATAGTACTTTACAGCACTCTCTGAGTGGTTTACAGAGTCAGCATATTGCCCCCAACAATCTGGGTCTTCGTTTACCAACCAATGGAAGGTTACGTTAACCTTGAGTCCATCAGGATCGAATTCCAGACTGTGGGCAGAGATTGCCTGTAATATTGTTAAATATTGTGCCATCTGGGCTTTTTAATAGATATAATAGACAATCATAATGCTTCATAGAAGAGATGTCTTAGAGAAAAATTGCTTTGTTACAGTTTCTTTTGGGAAACCCTTCTGTTTCTTAAGTATGAAGAAGCCAAGAGAATACTGATGCAAAATGGTATGAACATGGGCAGTCACTTTCTCAGTCCTGCCTACCCATCAACATTTTCCTAAACAGACATTCTCCTCTGATCAGACCTGCAAGATACTTAAAACTTCATCGCAATTTCCAAACTGTTGAGAACTTTTACAATATCTTGATTTAATACTTTACCCTCAGCTTCGATTATGTTCAATTGATACAACTGATATAGAATTCACTGTCTATATTGTATTGTATTGCTGGATTTATAGGGACATCAGAGTCTGTTTTATTTTCCTTTCCTTGATAAAATAGTCAAGCTTTACCAATTCAAGCTTTACAGACAACTCTCAATGGTGAAATCAGACAAATGTTGATTGCTCCTCTTGCTTAATAAATATGGAAATTTAAAATTACAGTCTTCCTTCTCATCTCACATACATTAGATCTAATCACTACTTTATAGCCAAGAATATAGATTTAATATGAATGTCAAAGTTATAGTATCAGTATTAACATCCTTATTTTAGTCTTAAGAGTGATCACATTAGTGGAATAACATTTTGTCTTATTTTGTTATTAGGTTGAAGTTGAACTCATATTCAACTCCAGTGTTTCTGATTTTAACTATTTTGTTCTAATCAAATTGTTGGATTGTTGTCCTTCCATGAAGCAACTCTTCTGCTGTCAAGGATACTGGCTGAAAAAGTCTGTGCCAAAAGCCAGTGGGATTATGGTATGGGACACTTACAGGCTGGGGCATTTAGAGCCAGCCTGGTTATAAACACCCCATGCTAAACTCTTGCTTGGCTTTTGACATGGACTTTTGGCTGATGAAAGGATTACCTGACATATTGATTTTGTCCTGCACAAAATGACTGCAACAACTTATGATCCACATTCTAGGCTCAAATTTGGTCATAAGTCAAGGACCAAAGTATTAAATCATGGCACTGTAAAGGTTTTCCACAGTTTGGAAGTTTTTGAATATCTTGCAATATGATCAAGGGGCATTGACTGCTTAGGAAAATTTGACTGAGATTGCTCTCTGTCCACATCCAGAATAATTTCCATAAGTATTCTCTTAGCTTCTTCATACTTTAGAAGCAGAAGGTTTTCTCTGAAAATACTGCACTCTAAAATCATGTTGTTTTAGGAGGAACCCTCTGATATTTTTAAGATTTGAAACTCCAAACTAATCTTTTTTAAGTAGGGAAGGCTACTTGTTACAATGATTTACATCTGGCTTTTAAAATGTGATTGTGGATGTTGCTATGAAAGCTCTGAAAATGCTGATGAAATTTATCCTTGCTATCTCTCATGGCATGAATAAATGCTTCAATTAGGCCAGTCTGGTTTTATTGCATGATGGAAAATATCTGCCAAAAAGCTGGGTTTTATTTGTTTAATTCTACTAGGGAGAGAGTAATTGTTTCTCCAAAATTGTTACATCTTCATAGGAAAACTTTTCTGTTGAGTTGTGTTGATGTTGTGTTTTATGGCATTTTTGATCAGCTTTTACTTTCCTAAAAAAATTACCAGGATGGCTTAGGGCACTTTTGTGAGCTAAAATAAAGAGATGAATTCTGATTTCTGTATTAGCTGCATTTGATTCCTATTTTCCTGGTTGATCTCAGGAGAGAAAAAAAGCATAAAAATTGTGATACTGAAAATCTCATTATTCACCATTGCCTTGTGGTGGTGGGGGACACCTTTAATTTTATAGATTCCTAAAGAAAAATGCCTGAAAAATGTTTTGTTATGAAAAAATTACACAGTTTTGTGGAATTCTGCTGCGTCTAATTCAGTGGATGCTAGAGAAGTCAATTTATATGGAAGTTATAGACTGTGTGTATCACTTTGCATCATATGCATCCTACTTGGTGAGAACAGTTAACAGCATGTTGACTTGCAAGATAGTGTCTTGATTAGATATTCTAGCTTTTGTAGAATAATGAGGGCATGCTTGGTGAAACTGAGCTTTGTTTGCACTTGAGACATATTTGGTCAAAAGGTACCCATATTGAATAGGGAACGCTACAGGAAGTACAAATATAATTAAGTTGGAAATCTAGTCTATATCTTTCTCTCTCTTATTAAAAAGTGTCATGCAACAAAAATTAGTATCTATGGAGCCATCTGGTGATTGTGGCATATGGAAAACTGTAACTTGTATTGTGAATGAAATAAATAGTAGAGCATGAATTAAGAAATGAAATGAATGAATGAAAGTTTTGTGCCTGAGAAACCCATAAGGGAGGTGGTTGGTGTCATGAATATTCATGTTCTTTTGTGTGCAGATAATACCATGTAGGCTGAGAATCCAAATGATTTTCAGTTACTGATATATGATGCAATACAAAGTATGAAAGATTAAGGTATTGTGAATGGTATAAAATAGGATTGACAATTGTACACAAATGGTGAAAACCAAAACAATTACATGAAACTTGTTAGAAGGTTTATTAAAGGTGGATGGTTCTATACTCAATCACACCCTTGAAAATAAAGGACATTCTCAAGTAATCTGGATGGGTTAGTTAAATTTACATTCATTTTGTCTTAAATTTAAAATGTCTCCAGAAATATTTCATAATGATATAACATAAGTGACAGCTTCCTTAGTAACATGTTCCATATTTATCAGGCATTCTATCATAATGTGTATTCACTGTCCCAAAATATCCATAAAAATGAGGTTTCACTGTTGGTGGTTACTATGTGTTTTGTTACAAGGAATGAATTTTGAAAGAAGCAAAAATATGCTTCTTTGTTGAATAGAAGTAGAGTACATCAGGAAAAATATAACAGCAAACTGAACAGGTATTTAAGAAATATATAAGTGACAAATCAAGGAGGCACATGTTTGGAATTAATAGATAGATATCGAATGATTGTGGGATGTGTACAAAAGTGAATAACCACAACAAAGTAATGGTATTGAAGTGCTTTGATCATGTACAATGAATGAGAATGAATTCAAAAGGAAGGGAAAGAGAGTTTGTGAGGTGAGATGTTCAAAGGAAAAATAAAATAGCATGAAAAGAAAGAATGGTGAAATATGGTGAATGTTGGCATAAATTTCATGGGGTTATCTTTCTTTTTCCTATTTCATGTCTTTAATTATCTTTGCTTACTGTAATTTGCTCCTATTCTTTGCTCCTAAAATTCCTTATCTGAAAATGGAATAGCTTGAAAAGTATCTTTATATGTATGTTTTTATGTATAATTTAATACATGAAAAACTTCTTGGAGAAAGGGATAGTCGAGTATTTTACATGAAGCATATGTTCTTTTATAAAATGGGTCCTTCTTATCTACAAATATTTTGATAGCTTTAGCTGTGAAGTATAACAATTATATTTGCTGGATTAGAAAGCTAAGATATACTTTGAATAAGCAAAATGAAGGAATGAGACATGGAACAAAGTATTTGTAGAATTCAAGGCATCCTTTTTGATATTCTTTTTATTCAATGTTTGCCTTTTTTCAGGATATTCCAATCCAACATTCCATTTTATCCATACCTAATGGATATATTCATTCACAATTACAGGCACTGAATAAACAAACTTCACTGGGTTGCATCTGATGCATTTTAGGTATTTTCTGATATAAATTATTTTCCCCAAAACATGGGTTATTTCAACCCAGTTGCTACACCTTATTCTTTGTTTAATCCAACTACATCCTTTGTTGAATTTCAGTGAAACAGAGAATTCCATAGAGAGTAGAAGCTTTTGTCACTTCACAATAGCTTTATATATTATGCACATGGATAATGTATATTCTTAAAATCTTCTGCAATGAGTCTGTATCAGAACATTTTCTTATTGTTTTCACCCAATGGAATGTTGGAAAGGAATTATGTAAAAGGGCTCTGAAATCCATCTGCCTAAGAGCAGGATAATTTTCCAAAAACAGAATAGGAGCAAATTTGGTGTCAGGGAAGAAGCTGATTTGGAAAATGAACTGGATCAGCTTGGGATGGCTTCAGGAAAAAAAAAAAGGACCCAACCAATTTCCCCAAATATATCTTTATGTATGAAGCATCTAAGAAATGGCTTCAGATGTAGTTGAGTGCACCAATCTTAAGCTACTTTCCCTCCTGGTAACTCAACTCAAGGCAGAGTTTCTATTAGTGGCTAATGACTAATAATCAATCCACTTTTAGCATCCCAAAAGGCATCCTCTGCTTGCTTTCTCCACCTTGTTAAAATGAAATGGATATTTATATCATCTTACTAAGTGGTAGAAAGGATATAAATTTACAATGAAGTGGAATTGCATTGTGTGTTAGGCTGGTATCTCTGATGGCCAGTATACCTGGATGACCCTTTGGTATTCACCAATATGCCCTATTCTTATAAACCATGGGTGTCAAACACGATCATGTCATGTGACATAACATGACGTATCATGACATTTTTTTGCCTTTGAGGAGCCAGGGTGGGTGTGGCCTGCATGTGGCACATCTGGCTTCTTTGACACCTCTGTTATAAACCAAGGTTTACAACATTCTCTCAATTTTATACATGAGCTATCTAGCATAAAAAATTGAGGAAGTCTAAACATAATTATGGATTATGGAGAGTTTTGATTTTATAAATATGCTAGATCACCTTCCTAAAATGAGAAATACTTTTAATTTATTTAGCTGTTTTTAAAGGTTTCCTTTAGAAAAATATATATATATAATGTAATTAGTGTAAGTCTA